AAACATTGCCCTGGAGGTCTCGTATGTAATGGGCTACATTACATGGTTGGAAAGATGTTTGTAAGGGGCGAAGCAGGACTGAGAACCCGGGCCCCTTGTAGGAGCGAATATAGGCCTTTGTTATTGCATGATTGGAAACAATTTTCTCCTCCCTCTTCTTTATGGGCACCTCCGCTTGGCCACACAAGACATATATTAACGTTGGGTGGCCAATCCTGATCATCGTGCTACCTTGGGGCTTATACATAATGGATGCCTATATTACATGACTAAGGTTGATCATTTTTCCTTTTGGGATGAAATAATTTAAAATTGCATGGTCTTTCGTTATCTTGCTCTTGTGCCAGCTTAGTAACAACCTGTCAGCAAATAAAGCATGTTAGGCTTTGGTCTCATGAAAGAGAGCATTGATGAGAAAATTTAAAAATTTCCCCTCCCACTCCTCCAAAGAGTCATTGAATCATTTTGCATCAAATAACATAAGAACTCATTGTAATTAGATCCCTCATCTAGGAACTAGGAGTATGAATCATAGGCATATCTGGATCAGTCGTATATTTCATATGCCCATGATCGTCAAACTGTTAAAGGAACTAACTTTTCCTTGACATAGACTTGATTGCCTAAGCATTCTTTGGCATTAACAAAAAAAAAATTTGGATGATGGGTAGCATGAAGGAATTTGGTTATGCCATAAATGACTCCCCATCCCTATTCAAAATAGAGTGAGCAACAAAGTCACCTTACTTATCAAACCCACATAGTATGAGTTTGCAGTGGGAGATTAAATCTTTGTACATTTTTTGTGTTGTCGCAATTGCGATGCGATGCAACTTGAAACCATCTGATGTCAACCTCTTCCCCCTACCTTATGCGCTGGACACCATTTCTTGCACAAGTTTATCTAAATTGGAGCATCAGTGGTAGGAAGAAAAAGTTTAGGAAGTAACAGGCCGAATAAAATTTTATTTTGCCTTGGGTCATGTTTATAAATAAATTAGCACCATAGCACTAGGCCTTTACTGGGCCCACAACATTAAATGATGATAATTATAAGCCATAAATTTCTCACTCATTGTGAACACTCAACATCAATTTAATTGATTGGACAATGCAACATGGGGATGCAGTGCCATGGTGTCATTACTGGATTCACCAGCTCAAACCAACAATGATGGTGACAATCAACACACTTAATCAGAGCACTTCAACTATGAGATGTAGCTTTGTAGTTCCAAGATGAGATATGATCAAATGCCTTTAATATCATATCAATATGTACCATTTCATTGTTGGGCATCAGTGCAATCGATGGAGTGTTACAGGCTTGGACTCCGTGCTGTGGCGCTAGATAAATTTCCCAAAATGCATGGTATGCAATTTAAGTGGGCAAAGTATAACAGTTAAAAAAGGGATTGGTGTTTTGATGCTTTACTATAGTGTTACGATGCTTGACTTGCTTTTACTAGAGAATGTTTGGATTGTGTTAGAATATCAATAGACTAAATCCGATGGTATTTCTTACAGGCTGACAAATAAGATGTGCAAAAAATGATGGCAACACAAATAAATTGTTGGCTTTAACATATATTATATCTAAGTGTTGTGACCGATGTTCTCCATTTTTCAAGGTTATGAGAAACTTCAACCACTTTACTTGGATTGAAGAGTAGGATCAAGCATTCAAAAAGTTAAAATTTTACTTTTTTCTCTTTCTTTATTACAGATTCTTAACTAGGAAATGACCTATACATCTACCTAGGAGTCTGAAAACACGTAGTTAGCTCAGTTCTAATTTCTTAGTGCAACAAATATAATTTACTATATACAATGTAAGCAAAATTTATGTGGTGTTGAGCTAAACAACATGATAATGAAGAAACTCACACTAACATTAATCATTTACATGCGGAAGATACATCCTTATTTTCAAGCTCATGCAGTTCACATGATAAATCACCATACACTAAAGTGGTTATTATCTAAACCTGATCACTCAAGGAAATTGCTCAAATGATTAGTAGAATTGAGCTAGTCTGACATCTCTTATATGCTGAGAAGAGTGATAAATGCTCAAGGTCATTGATTTCTAAGTGGCTTTATTAAAAATACTAATGTACCAAGAAGACAAGACCTACGAGGAAAACATAGGACCCTTTTTATATATGGAGCATCCGTGTTCCAAAGAAAAAGCGGGGGTGTGGTCCTACAAAATACAACAAGAGTTATGCTGTGTTACTAAATTCAAATTAATAATTTTAATGTTTATAGGATTCATGCAAGATTCTGGCCACACAAAAAAAACTAATAATTCTAGTTTTATTCTAAAGCAAATAATATTTCAAATGAAAAAAATAGATTATTGTAAGATTTTCTAAGAAGTTGTTTAGTTATAATGTCATGGTATTAACATAAGTAGTGTATTTCTATTCAATTATTATTGGTTTGATCTTGTTCCAAATAATGGAACAAGGATAAACAAGATCTATAATACCATAGGCATTAAAGTGAACAAATTTTATCATTACAGCAAGAATAAACGAGTCAGGTATATTATCTTCAATATCCCAATAAAAAAAGAGATAAATTTGACTGGGCAGTAATTATCATGATTAAATTTAGAGGGACTATTGATATCCAAAAACTATTGAACTCTCTCATTAAGAAAGAGAAATGATAGATTTTTTGTATTCAACTTGATTCTATTCATAAAGAGAATACATATTTAATTTTATCCATCTAAAATACGTAAATTCATTTTAAATAAATAGTTCTGCTAAAGACCAGAGAGCGCTGCACACATTAGGAGGAGCTTCAAGTTAAAAGAGAGGACTTCTTCCCAACATGTTCGATGAGATGCAAAAAATGCATTACCACCTTGTATCGCTTGGGGACAATGTGTATGATGCATTGCTTTAAGCCTGGAATACTCCAGACTACTAGAGGAAGAGTTAGCAAGCAAAGAAAGATCAATGTTTTGATTGTGGAGGCATGGACGCCTTCAAGAATACTAGTGGGGTGCTCCATATACTTGAGTATAATAGAAAGATGGTAAATTTTAATTTGTGCAATAAATTTTAGTATAAAATAAAAATTTAATAACTATTTTCTTATCTTGATAGACACTAGAGTTGAGATAAGAGCCCACTATTGGCAAGCTACACACGTGTGCTCATAAGTGGCAATTGAGTCATATATGGGTTGGCAACAAATATTTGATGATGCGTGTAAGTGATAGCTATAATTGTTATACAATTCAAGTTATTATTGAATTTTAGTTTGCCTCTAAGTTGAAGTAGACTAGAACTAAGCGCACAGAAGAATGTGCAATCTCATATTGTCATCAATCTAACTATGAGCAAAGGGAGAGTTTGCTAGGGACAAAGGTTTGTGGATTAGGTTCATAGGCACAAGCTTACGATGATCACTACTATTTTAGCACATTTAGTCCATTACTTCTATCGCCCAGAGGATGAGGTTTGTAGGAAGGTCATCGCATTCAGCGTTGATATGGAGACCTTGTTTGTTGCTAAACACACATAGAGAAAATCTAAATTTAAGGCAAAAATTAAAATATAATTAGATGCATTGTGATGTTGGGCACACTTGAGAGGGAAATAGCTGATAGAGAAGTCAAGAAGGAGGACTAGATGGTGATAGATGATGATTAGGACTATATTTTATTTTATTTTATGAGATATCTGAACATGCTATTCTTTTGTACAAATAGATTACTTACCTGATTCAATACATTATGATTATTTATGTGTTCAATTTGTGCTAATCCTATATTTAGTAAACTCTTGTGTTTTAGCCTAATTGTTCTTCTAGTCTCTTAAACTAAACTTGTGATTATTATATTAGAATTTAACATAAAGGGGAATATGAATGCCTGATAATTCTTGCAGGATTGAAAAACTTAACTATAATATGAGATTCAAATGCTTGTTATATCTTAGAAAAGAGTAAGAATTAATAGGTAATATTTAACAACTATATTAGAAAAATCGCTTGGAGGAATCCAAAATTCATTGAACTAATATAAGGGAGCCATTTCAAATGTAGTAAAAACTTATCTCACTTATCATTGGTCTTTTCTTTTGAAATTAGAATTGTAGACACTTTAAAAAACCTTTAAAACTTCCATCATTTTGAACTAAATCAAAGATTAGAAGACTAGTTAATTCAACATGCTTGGGAATTGACTCATTCCTCTTATGGTTGATACATGGACTCATAATTCAATACAAATTGATCAACATATATAATTGTGTGAACGAGTGCTTCACCACACTACAAATTAGTCAGCCAAACTAATAGTGAGATCAATGTTGTGGCAGGAGATTGTCTACCAAAGTGTTGATAAAGAGAAAAAACTTTGGTTTTTTATTTGGTGCAGCCCAACCCTGATCATAGTTCAACTGGCCATGCTTGGCTTGCAATGGATGAGTTGCTTGGTTCCATGATGCATAATAGCAATGAATATTATTCAAGCAAGATTAAAAGCCGCTATGATCAATAAGAATCAAAAACCTCGTGCGCTACTAAATCATAGTTTATCCACCCATTCTAATGTCATTTGTTCAGATTATCATGCTAAATAAAATCAAATTGAGCATTATACAATACTAAAATTGAATTTATATTTGACCTAAAGTTTAATTTTAAATTGAGCATAAATCATTAATAATATAATTTTTTTCATATGAGATTGAGTTCAACATTTTTAAGCTGAACAAGCTTGCTTTGCATACATCATACAAAAACCGGAAAAAAAAAAAAAAAAAAAAAAAAAAAAAAAACAAACAAACATGTTCAATTTCGACACATCTAACAATGTAAATTATTCCATGAACTACAATTCTTTTGGAGGCAAGGAAATAATAATAAAAAATAAGTTTCAAAATCTAACAATGTAAATTATTCCATGAATTACAGTTCTTTTGGAGGCAAGGAAATAATAATAAAAAATAATAATAAAATAAAATTGAGACCATAAAACGAAGCTAGACACAAGTGGAGAATTAGCATGAACCAGATCACCTCCACCCTTTTAACTGACAACCTCATAAATCTTCCCTTCAATTTTTCTTCACTCTCATGGAAATGTCAACATCCCTTACCTTTACAGAACCCCATTTTTAAAAGAAAAAACCCATCTGTTCCCTCAGATGCCTTCTCATCATTCGCCTCATGACTTCCTTCTTTATTCTAAACACAGAAATGACATGAGAAAGTTATTCTGGCTTTCCAGATCCAACCTTTTTTCTAACTCTGAACACTCACTTTCCACACAACTATTATTTGCAGCAAAGCAGCCATGACTGACTGCAGGGGGTTTGGCTCATCTCAGCTGGAAGTATAGAACCCTTCTTCCTCATGAATCCTCACCACTAATTGATGAACTGCGGTGGCAATCTCATCCACCGTTGCAAGCTGACAGTCTTCTTCCACCTGCAGATCAGTACAGTAGATATATGATCTCACACAATGCATTAAAATATGTAATTTTCTGTATATCTTCATATTTTAGTTTATTTATTTATTTCATCAAAGCATTTCTCTTCTTGGAATAAAGATAAGATTGTTTACCCATATTAGTAGGGTCCTGAAATATGGGAAGCTCCAATTGAATCCAATAAATGGATTAATTTAATTGGAAAAGATGGGGATGGACCATTGCTAGCATCTTTTGATGTAAAATGTTTTTTTTTTTTTTCTGAACAGTTTGCTTCGCTTATAAATGCTTCAATTCAACAATCCAGCTTGAGAATAATGTTTTTAAATACATTAGAGATTTATAAATGAAAAGAAAAAAACTGGTTCAGAAATCTTATCTCAAAAAAAAAAAAAAAAAGATTTAAACAAGTATTTTACTGGATATTATTACTAATGTAAAATCAAATTGTACAATGAAAGAAAAATTAAGTAGTAGTTATCTTCTGGGAATCAGGAGCGTTATTTTCGTACGTCATACGCACGCAGTTCTGCGTGCGTACTCCTCCTAATAACCTTCCAATAACTCAATTATTGGAGGTTATTGAGAGGTTATTGGGGATATTACCTTCAATAACATCTTAATAACTTGTCAAAAACCTACAAATACCTTCCGCGGTTTGCGCTCATATTTTTTGCTGTCATTCGGGGGTTTTGTGAGGTATTAACCCCACTAACACCGACATAACATACTAATACCCCCAAATAACCGGAGTACGCACGCAGAACTTCGTGTGCGTACGACGTATGTAAATATTTTTTGGGAACAGACATATCAACGCCAATTTATCTATGAAGGAATACACATTAACTCAACTAAAAAAAGAAAAAAAAACTAATAATTAAGAACAAGATATTAGCTAGTTTTTATTTTGGTATTCTTTATTTCCACTATTAGAGTAAAGGTAATTACCTTGAGGCTAAATGTAAAGAGAACCATGGCCCCAAAGGTGGTAGCATTAAGGTGCAGAGTGGAGAGCCGAAGACTCTGTAACCCAACCACCAACTTCAGAAGCTGCTTCGGCCGTCGTCTACAAAGTATCTTCAGGCTAGCATGGCTCTCCACAATCGTTACCTCTATATCGGCCACCGCCGACGGGTTCGCCGGAACTGTATCAACGCCACCGGCCGCAGTGGCGGCGGTGTGGGTCAATGAATACTGGGGAAAGCTGAAGAAACTCGCAAGCGGCTTCAGATCTTGAACTCTGTTGTCTCCCCGGTGCTTGAGCTGTTTGCGAACTTCGAGAAATTGAACAATCTGCTGAAGCTCTTTCACATAGTTTATGGCGCCGCCAACAATGGATGCTTGATCTCCCTGTACATTAACCAGGATTTCCAAGATAAAATCTTTATGTAATAAATTGTTTAAAAAAGATTCCTTTTTTGGGGAAAAAATAATCTTTTTCTGCAAAAGTTTTGATTCATTTCTGCAAAAAGTCGAGCAATCATTAGGTAAAAAAAGAACTTTTAGGAATGGGAGGGAGCAGGATACCCTTTGGGCGTAAGAAGCAGGCATGAGTGAGCGAAGAACGGCGAGGTACTCGTTCATTTGCTTGCGCCGGTTGCGTTCAACGGCAATGTGGGTCATCCTCTGGTTCTCGGCCTCTTCCTTGTTTGTCAAACCCTTGGTCCGACGCCTCTTCTTTCTTCCGTTGGATTCTGAACACGTTGCTGGTGCTTTGTCTTCTTTCTGTGCTGTTGCCGATATTGCTGTGGCTCCTCCAAGATCCGGCGGCTCTTGGAAACCCTGTCCTGTTAATGAAGAGCAAGAAGCTTTCCATTCATCGTAGAAAGGCAGCGTTTTGTCTTCGTCTACCAATCCAGCTATGTCCCAGGGACTGTACATGTCCTTCACATTGCAGCTTAAGAGGTCATGAAAGACCACGGCTTCTAAAGCCATGTATGTCAGCTGAAATTGATAAAGGCAGAGGAAAGAATGGAAGGAGAGATTTGTTGGTTAATGAAGTTTAGCAGGTTGCAGGCAGATCAATGATGCAGGGGAAGGAAGAAATAGAGGGACAGTTCTGCTGCGCAATGGACTTTAGCAGCTTGCAGGAGGATAAATAAAGATGTGGATGGAAGAGAAAGTGAGCCGTGAGAGGGATGCCTTGTGGAAGAGGGACATGGGCTGCGGGGATGGAAGGGTGAAAACTGAACGAGGATTAATTATTATTATTATTATTATTTGGAATAAGGCTTACTAATATAAGAAAGAGGGCTGTATACACACATACACCCAATCTTGCTTCCTCTTTCATTTATTTTTCAAAATTTTACTCAAATATTAAAATTTTTAATTAAACATAAAAAAAATTTACATTTTTTATCAAATTCTCAATGATTTGATGGTGTGTCGCATAAATACATCGGTTTAACAGTTCAAAAATAAAAAAAAAAATATGAAATTTTGTAAATAGCAATATTTGGGTATTTTGTATGTAATTACCCCACAGAAGAAATAAATTTGAAAGAAAAAGGAAAGAGATTAATTAAAAAAAAAGAAGTTATGGGCTTTTATTATAATAGATGAGGTATAATTGTATGCCTTAAACTACATGAAATTGTGTAGAATTATGTGACTAGAGGCTTTCTCAAGACTCATTATTTAAATGTTTGGATTGTGTTCCAACTATTATAGAAAAAGCTACATAGTGAATTACATGAATAAGAAAAATATATAGCAAGGCTTTTTAGTTGCTGTTATGAAAGACATGAAGAATATAGCCTAATGGAGCACTTAGAATTGTAGTCGACATCCTGGGAAGACTTCGTTTACATTTTCCCTTGAGCAAATCGTCGGTTGTCGACATCCTGGGAAGTCTTCGTTTACATTTTCCCTTGAGCAAATCGTCGGTTTGATGAGTTGTTTATAAACTTGAACAGCAATACGCCGGCTTTGTCAATGCCACATGATCGCCATGATCTAAACGATATTATTGTGGGACGGGCGATCTCATTGAGAGTTAGGCTGGCAAGTTCATCATAATTGAGAGATAACAAGGATAGTCTCTCTCGTAGAAGGATGAGATGAATAAAAAAGCAAAGCTCGCGTATGACAATAGATGGTCAAGATAATCCATCGGCTTGATGGAGTTTGGCAAATTAGATAACCAAGAGTAAACATATGGTGCAGTTGGTATTGAATTTTTTCCCTCCAAAATTGGGAATATTCTAGATGACTCCAAGATAAATAATTGTAGGCAGTTAAGGTAATAATGAGCATAGACTATATGGCTTGATATCAATAATGATAAAAGAATTCAAAATTATTTTAACGGATAATAACAAAGTGTTAATTAAGTCTTCCTAGATTAAGTAGAATTGAAAAACCAAAAGTTAATTATAGCTTAAGGTGACAATCATAATTCTCAAATTTCTTATGATTTTGGAGTTTAGAATGTCTACACTAAGAATAATTGGTTCCTTATATGTTCTTGAATGGATCACTTTAGTCATTATATGTCATTGTACCTGAATATTCATTATTTATATAAAAAATTTATGTATTAGATCATGCCTTTCTTTGATTAAAAAGTGAATGGATAATCCCACCCTTGGGTTAGCTTCATCAACCAAGTTGAGCTACAATATGGTATAGTGATGGTAGTGCAATAACATTTATCACTCGCAAAATGTCTAATCAATGAACAAAATGTTATTTAAATATTCCTTTGCCACAAATCGGATAGAGTCGATGGATAAATATTTTGATGGTTAGACTGATCATAATAGTTCTAAATAGATTTATGGACAAAACATAAAGACACTAAACAACACCAATAATAAATCATATTTTTTTTCTATAAAAATGTATACATCTCAAAATATGTCTGAACGTTTATTTCCGATCCTATGAGGTTTGGAGATACACTCATAATCCATAAATATAAGCCTTTTTTTGGGGCACAATCATGATAACAAAAATAATAATCAACCCAACGAAGAGGGTATTGCTACAAAATTCAGTCCCCACATAAGGGGATATAAAAATAATTATAATAATCAAAACTCCCTCATGGTAGTGTTGACATTATTTACGGGTCACATACATTTTTTAGGTCACATGCAACTTTCAGAGTCATATGGACCTTTTGGAAAGGTCCCAGTGCCGTTGAACCCTAAGAAAAAAAGCATTATGCCCCTTTCTGGCCTTGCGTGGTCATGCCAAACCTGGAGCAAACTGCGCCTAGGTGGGGCCACACCCCATTTTCTGCTGGAGTGGTCTTCTCCCATCAACTACGTCACAGATATGTAACCTTTGTTCACAGATCTTCATCCCAACCATCCATTTGATCGGTCGACTGTAAACATTTGCCAACCATTCACGATTGCGAAACAGCAGAAGTTCTGAGCCATCAATTTTCCATCTAATACATGACCCGGGACATCTATAGAAGGCCTTTGTTCGTGCCTCCAAAGAGGGATCTGGAATCAAGTCAAAGTGTGCATCGAAGTATCTCGAACACTTCTAACTCAGTGTGTCTTCCTCTAGATTTCTCCAAAGAATCTTTTCCTCCTCTGGTCAACCGTCTCCTTTATAAGCCTTTCTTCTCTATGTAAGTTTAGTATTTTTTTGTTAAGCTTAAGTTTAAGAGTAGGTTAGGTTAACTTAACAGTCTTGGATTAAGCTTGGGTTTGGGCTCGATTTAGGTCGACTCAAACTTGACATAATCTTAATCATTAAAATGGTTTAACCCAAACCTTATCTAGATTTGACCTAACCAAGACCTGACCCAACCTAGCCTCGACCTAGCTCAGGTCTAGCCTAACTTAACTCAAACCTACCTGGGTCAACTCGGATAAAACCCCAACCTACATGGATCAACCCAAACAAAACCATAATCTACGCGGGCAAATCCAAGTCAACCCGGGTAAACCCAAATCAAACCCAATCTATCCGGGTCAACCCAAATCAAAGCTTAATCTACCTGATTTTAGCTAAGTCAGCCCAGCTCAAACCAAATCAAACCTAATTTATCTAGGTCAATCCAAGTCAACCTGAGCCGATCCAAATCAAACCATAACCTTCTTGAGTCAACCCGAGCCAACCTAATTCAAACCCTAATCTACCCTGATCAACTGAATTCAACCCAGGTCAACCCAAATCAAATTGTAATCTGCCCAAGTCCACCTTAGTCAACCCAAGTCAATCCAAATCGAACCCTAACCTAGTCGGGTCAATTCGAGTAAACCCAAATCAGACTCTAATCTACCCAGGGTAAACCTAAGTCAACCCAAATCAAATTAAAACCTTTTTGGGTTAAGTCAGGTCAACCCGGGTTAAATCAATCTCAGACAATTCTTTTCAAACCCTACCCTACTTGGGTCAACCTCAGTCAACCCAAATTAAACCCTAATATACCTTGGTCAACCCAGGCCAATCCAATTTGAAATTGGGGAAGTTTGAAATCAATTTGGTGGAAATTAGGGGTGATTTGGAGACTTTAGGCATTTAGAGGTAAAATTGAGATTTTGGTTAAAATTGACCAATTTGGTCAAATTGGGCCAAATTTATGGCTAGAATTAGTTTTGGGGATATTTGTAATGATTTGGGAGGTTTTGGGAATTTTTGGGCCATGAGGGGCATTTTGGTAATTTTGGTGAAGTTAGGGGTATTTTGGGAATTTTGAAAATTTTGAGGTGTTTTGGGCAATTTGAGTGGTTTGAAATGGTTTGGGATGATTTTTTTTTGAAGAGAGTTTGAGAATTTTGGAAATTTTTTAAAATTTAGGGTTCTAGGGGCAATTTGGTAATTTTGGGAATGTTTGGGAACAAAAGAACAAAATTGGGAAGTTGGCTAAATTAGGATCAATTGAGGATGCTAATCATAAAATTATTCTTTTTTGTGCCATGAAACTAAGGGGGATCCCATTTTGGATCCTCCATGTGTTGGTCCTAGCCAAACCCAGCTTAGAGCTGAGGGTTTGGAGGACCACCCACACGAGTTTCTAAAAGCGTGGGGAACCAGACTCAGCACGATTCTGAGTGAAAGTGACGGGTTCAAGTGTGTGTGTGCAAGAATGAACAAAACCACACAACCCAAGGCTAACCCTGAGACCAACCAGTCATATGGGGACTCTACTTGAGCTCTACCATGCTTGGCTCCATCCTACTAAGTTCTAGAGGTTAGAACCAAACATGTGGAACTCCAAGAAGAGAAAAGAGGTATTTAGAAGTACTAGTGGGGTAGGTTTCCATCACTAGTTCTCTAGGAATAGTCAACATGAAAGTCCAGTGGCTAGATTCTAGGCTTTTAAAGAAGAAAAACTAGACCTCAACAAAAAACGAGGTCAATATTCTCAGGATAGGTGGATCGCTCGTGGTGTCGTGCTCGATTATTTAAACTATTAACTATCAGAAATCAGTTCGTTCCCATATTTTCAAAATTAAAATACTACTTTTCAAAATTATATTAAATTAACCCCCATCATTTCCATTGTGCGTGGCCGACAACTTCTGGCGACTCCGTTGGGGAGTAGTTTCTCTGTTCATTATGATCATAAAGTTTTGTCTTCATACATCGCTAATGTTTTCATGTTCCTCTTTCCTTTATTCGTAAAAGCCAATTGCCTTAAGAAGACCTACGACTCATGATGAAGAAGTGTAGTAAGGCTCTCAACCATCGATTGGATCTTTCGGTGGTGGCTTACGAGTGGAGAACGAGAAGAAGGTTTTGCAAGGCTGGCTCTTCCCTTTTGCATTGTTCCTTCGGTGATTGCTTGCGGGAAGGTTTGAATCGCTAGTTGCTGCTCCCCTTAGTGTTCTTCTTCAGTAGCCTACGGGTAGAGAGAAAGAAAAGGAGAGGAGAGACAAAGGGAGAGAGAGCTTTCTTGTAAGTCGAAGCGATCAACTGTGTAATTTCTCAAAGAACTAAAATCTTCTACAACTCCATGGATGTAGGTAATTTGCTGAACAACATAAATCTGTGCTCTATTTTGTGTTTGTGATTTCTTCATTCCATTTTTCACTTTCTTACCGTCGTTTTCCATAACAAACACCCCAACTTTACGGTCACCTTCTCGTTCCCTCTCTGTCTCTCTCGGTTCTCAAGCTCTATATGCTTTGGGCATGTACCACAGAACAATTCTGGATCCAACAAGCACTATTTTCTTATTCCTTCCCACCAAAATGAATGCAATGAATTTCAAG